TTTTTTTTTTTTTTTTTTTTTTTTTTTTTTTTTTTTTTTTTTTTTTTTTTTTTTTTTTTTTTTTTTGTCTCGATAGGTTAGTAATAAGCTCAACGAGCAAGTCACACATTTGAAACTCAATTAAACGATAAACTAATAACTAAGAGAAGAGACTAATAGCAGTACTGGACAAAACACGAGAGGTTGAATGCTCAAATGAAACGTTCAAGGGTATGATTGTAATAAAGTTCATAGTTCAAGGTCGTTTGTGCAATTTCCTCATAATTCAATTGGTTTCTATAACACTATCATGGCCTTAAACATCTATAGAAATATCCCCAAAAGCTTGGGCACCTTGTATCTCTTTTATATCTATGTTGTGTCCCAATTTGGAATGTTAGCAGTTGCTTCATTCACCATCTTTACTAGGGTTACCTGCCAACAACGAAGAGAGAGGCCACAAATCACTTTTCATAAGAGCAATTTTCGCTATTTCAAATATGTTAGGACTGTGCATGGTTCGGTATGGTTTTTGAGTTTTATGCACTTCCCTAGTCTGCAGGAATACGACCAAACAGTAAACTAAATCATCCTCGACATGGTTTTCTATAACAACCCAAGTCCACTGTTAGCCGATACTATCCTGTTAGACTTTCCCTTAAAGGGCTTTCTCTCAAGGTCTTTAAAACGCGCTGGCTACAGAGAGGTTTCCACACCCTTAAGGAATGCTTTGTTCCCCTCTCCAACTGATGTAAGATCTTACAATCCACCCCTCAATGTCCTTGCTGACACATGTGCTCTGATATCATTTTGTTAGCAGATATTGTACTCTTTAGACTTTCCTTTTAAGGACTTCCCCTCAGTTTTTTAAACTCGTCGGCTAAAAAGAGGTTTACACACTATTATAAGAAATGTTTCATTCCCCTCTTCAACCGGTGTGGGATCACAAAATCCACCCCCGTTAGGGGCCAGCGTCCTCGCTGACACACCGCCCAATGTCTGGCTCTAGTATCATTTTGTAACAACCCAAGTCCATTGTTAGCAGATATTAAAACGCGTCTGCTAAGGAGAAGTTTCTACACCCTTGTAAGAAATGTTTTGTTCCCCTCTCCAACCGAAAAACATGCGGCAATAGGTGAAGACAAGGAGAATGGCTTTCTAGAAACGTACCACACTTTCAGGAACTCCAGGAGGGGGTAAAGAAATGTTTCTCGGAGGAGGTCCACGTAAATGTGACCTCTTGTCGAATCGCCATTCACCAATTTTACCATAAGTCAATTCGCCCTAATGATTTTCAGGAAAGTGAGTTTCATTATAAGAGCTAAGATTATAGAAAAGGAAGGAACAAAGGCAAAGAAACTTCACCTTTAAGTTGTAGTCACATCCGTAAGTATAATGTATAATGAACTTTTTACCAATCTCCAAGTCCCATGGTGGCTGACCAGTTAGAAAAGAAAAAGAAGGAACATCTCAAGATTGGTTTCAATATGGCTGACCAGTTAGAATCAATGGATGTCGTACCTGCAACATAAAATCTTTCCGAAGAACGTGCTGCACGCCGTGCAAAGCCGAAGCAACTGCATAAGCATACCTTCGGGGAAAAAGGGAGCTTTAGAAGACAGCATTTCACTACGGATTTTAAAATTTGTGTAACAGCCCATGCCCACCGCTAGCAGATATTGTCCATTTTGGCTCGTTACATATCGTCGTCAGCCTCACGGTTATAAAACGCGTCTACTAGGGAGAGGTTTCCACACCCTTATAAGGAATGCTTCGTTCCCCTCTCCAACCAATGTGAGATCTCACAATCCACCTCCCTTGGAGCCTAGCGCCCTCGCTGGAAGACTGCTCGGTGTTTGGCTCTGATACTATTTGTAACAGTCCAAGCTCACCGCTAGCAAATATTGTTCACTTTGGTCCGTTATGTATCACCGTCATCCTCATGGTTTTAAAACACGTCTACTAGGGAGAGGTTTCCACACCCTTCTAAGGAATGCTCCGTTTCCCTCTCCAACCGATGTGGGATCTCACCATCCACCCTCTTTGGGGCACAGCGTCCTCACTGACACACTGCTCAATGTCAGGCTCTGATACCATTTGTAACAGTCAAAGCCCACCACTAATAGATATTGTCCGTTTTGGCCCGTCACGTATCGCCGTCAGCCTCACAATTTTAAAACACGTCTACTAGGGAGAGGTTTCCACACCCTTATAAGAAATACTTCGTTCCCCTCTCGATCTCACAATTTGGTAGACTATAGAATACAAAAGGTTTATCGTTTCTGAAAGCTTACATTTCTAGCACCCATCCGAAAACTTTATCCGCCTCAGGATCTTCTTTCATCTTCAATGAAACATTCATCCATGTAGGAGCAATCTTTTCCAGCAAATCCTGATAAACAAAACCGATATAGCACATCAAACAATAAATGTCGAGTCAGTAAAAAGAAAGAACTTTGCAAGAATGGCAACAGGGAAAAGAAAATATCATGTTAAAAGGTGTTAATCTCCCAATCACCTTCCTGATAATCACGGGGGAGTTTCCGATCGGGTCGATATTGGTTACGGGGCCATATTCCTCAGGGAAGAACTTTCTCAAAACCTTTTCGTTTTGATCGGGTTTGATGTAGAAAAACGGAAACGCAGCTGGATAACCTTCGTTGGATAAATTAGGAAGCGGATTAACGAATATATGATCTGGTTCTGCCATTAATATATATCTGTAACATAAACAAAATCAAAGAGAATTCTAATAGTAATGTTTATGAGAGGTTCTATTCTTTAATGATTTTACATAAAATTCTCACTCTTCCTCTATTGTAGCCTTTTCCAGCCACTGCACGAAGGCCCATGGTCTGTTCAAAACAATGTAACCCTGAGAACAGAACAGACAAGTTTTATGAAAAACGAAACGAATCCAAATCATTTGAAAGAAGAAACGAGGACGTTCGAAGTAGCTATCAGTGAGTCAAATGAACACAAAGAAGAAAGCGTGATCGGATCCTCACCCGGTCCACACCATCAGGAAGAGGATCCACCACCATAGTAGGAATCTCATCCATAAGGTTATCGGGCTTTCCCGAGTGCAAAACACGAGTGAACCCTCCCATCTCGGAGTCAGGCAAGTGTTTCATCTTCTTGTACCAGTAATACATAATTCGACATTGCCATTGGCTGTATGGAGCATCGGTCGCTGTCAAAGCAACATGGTAAGGCAACTTTGTCTCCTGCTTTTTCACATTCTCTGGCATTTCAATGACAGGGTCGATCGATAAACGATTGTACGAGTTAGGTCCAACTCCCCTTCCCACGGATCCATACCGGATAATAGCTATCACCAAATTATAAGTAACAAAGAAGAAAGCAAGAGCCAAGAGAATCAAAAACAGTGGGGAAGCCTGTCCTGTGTTCTTCCTCCCTATCATAGTAGCTATTTGTGGGATCCAAATCAAGGACTTCCAAAATTCATTATAGGATAAGTTTTCTGAATTGTCCTGAAAATTTTCTGTTTGCCTTTCGGATACACACGTCGTAGCTGTACGACGAACGACTTCTACAGTGTATAACTCGAGAGGCGCTCGATTCCCACAGACGTTTATTTCACTGCCAACAAACAGAAGGAAGAAATAAATGAGATTCTGGTTGAAATTTAGAGACTTAAACCATCTCTTAGGTACAATTTTGGTTAAGGAATGCTACCTATCCTATGATCTATGCTGAAGGATTAGATATTAAAACTCTCCTTCACAAATGCTAACCACAGTGAAGCGATATTGTAACAGCTCAAGCTCACCGCTAGTAGATATTATCATTTTTGGACTTTTCCTTTTGGGCTTCCCCTCAAAGTTTTTAAAATGTGTTTGCAAGGGAGAGGTTTCCACACCCCTATAAGGAATGTTTCGTTCTCTTCCCCAACTGATGTGGGATCTCACAATCTACTCCCCTTCGAGAACCAGCATCCTTGCTGGCACACCGCATCATGTCCCCCTCCTTCAAGACTCAGGTTCCTCACTGACACATCTCCCCGTGTCTAGCTATGATACCATTTGTAATGGTCCAAACCCATCGCTAGCAGATATTGTCCTCTTTAGGCTTTTCCTTTCGAGCTTCCCCTCAAAGTTTTTAAAACTTGTATACTAGGGAGAGGTTTCCACACCCTTATAAATAATGTTTCGTTCTCCTCCCCAACCGGTGTGGCATCTCACAATCCACCTCCCTTCGGGGCCCAACTTCCTTGCTGGCACACTGCCTCGTGTTCACCCCCTTTCAGGGCTCAATCTCTTTCTTGGCACATCGTCCAATGTCTGGTAACAGCCTAAGCCCACAGCTAGCCGATATCGTCCTCTTTGGGCTTTCTCTTTCGGGCTTCCCCTCAAGGTTTTTAAAACACATTTGCTAGGGAGAGGTTTCTATAAGAATGCTTCGTTCTCCTCCCCAACCGACGTAGGATCTCACAGATATAACCCTCAATTCTCAAGCAAGCTTGCTAGGTAAACTCCGAACAGGACGGAGAAGAAAGAACAGATGCAACAATATTGAATGTATCAAAGTCAAAAACTAAAAGGGTGCAATGAGAGAAGCTGGAATGAAGAACAAAGAAGAAAAACAGGACAAACAAAAAATCAAGAACATAACAAACACTACTTCAAAATTCAGAGCATCTCCATAATTTTCAAAGATCTAACATCATATTTCATGAACAACTTTCGCCATCAAACCCAGAATGCACAAACAACACATAAACTATCAAAACAGATCTCAGAATCAGATTAAACTCTTCATGAACAATAGTGTGAGATCGAAAACAAAAGAAAAAACATCATCAACAGAGAAATATCAAAACCATTAAGCATTGACTTCAGAATCCAGTAAAATCATGAAATGGATCCGCCTCAAAACTGCAAAATCCATCATAAACCCAGAAAAACTCAACGATCATAGAGCTTCACAAACAATCAGAGATCAAAAACACAAGAACAGAGCCACGAACAGGTAGGTGTAGCGGTATCGATCGAAATTCAAAGCAAGGAAATCAAAAACTATGAAAATTATGAAGGATTTTCAAATCAAAAGAGGTCAAACCTTGAACATCAGCGAGTCGGGGAAAAACAAATTGAGAGATCTGGAAAAGTGGGTCTTGTGCTTCCGTCAGGACAGTCGCCTCGTTGAATCTTTTGGGTTCTTTAACAAATTCTTGTTGAACCCTTTTGTTTATTAAACAAAATCTGGTTGAATCTTGATTAGTAGACTTTCCTTTTGTGTATTTTACTCACCTAAAAATTTTGGACATTTTAATTTTGTCCGTAATTATACTTTAATCTGTTCATAATCCTTAATTAGGGCGGCTGCCGTTTGTTCTCTAAATTAATAAAAATCTTTATTTTGTAAAAAAAAACTCTTAAAATTTTAAATATTAATAAATATTTTTAATATAATTTCTAGAAATTTAATATTTAGTGTCTATCACATTAAATACTAATTTATTTAATAAAACTCCCAAAGATTAAAATTTAATTTTTTTTTTTACCAAATTTATACACTTTATTTAATTCGGAATTTTTTTAAAAAAATATTTTTTAAAATATTTCAAATCAGTTGAAACATTTATTTATTTTTTAAAATTACATTAATATAAATTTTAAACGTAATCTCTCAACAAACTCATTTTAATACATTATAAAAGTCGTCAAAATTATATTAAATCTAAATTTTTATTTTTTACCGTTTTTTTCTTATAGTAATGTTTTTCACCATACGACCATTTTTATTCAATCACGTCATTATTCAGTTTATTATTATACTCGAATATATTGCTATAACGTATAAATAATACAACTAAAAATGGATGATAAATAATTCGATAAGAACTATCAAACCATCAAACCCAGCAAAGATAGTCATTTACATTTTTCGATATCAAGCTTCAACCACCTCAGATTTCAAACAGTCGACGTTGCACAACCCAACAGACCGCACTATATCTCCCAAGCTGTTAAATCACATCATAGATCGTTACCAAATTTCTACTTCTAATAGTTAATAAGCTGTTTGAGTTTGACTTACCGGTCAAAGCTACTCCGTGGTCTTTCCGATAGATATACGTTGTTCTTTGCCTTTAGCAATCGATCCACGCTGTTCCTCGACTTATGGGTAGCTCGGGATTTGTCCTTTTGATTGGTGGTCGATGGTGGTTTTTGATCATGTTCGTCAACTTTATTGGTTGAACGTAGTGTTTGTATGGCGAATATGAACTTACGAAGGTGATTTAGGTATTGTGGGTAAAGTTCTAAGTCACAATGGCTTCCTCCTTTGAGCCATAAGGGTTCGTACTTGTCTCTGCAAAGCTCCCACAGCTGCTTTCCATGGGAACAATCCACAACTTTATCTTCGGTTCCCTGAAGAAACTTCCATTACTAATAAATCGTAAACCCTAAACCTTATAAGAAAAAATGATAAAAAAAACTTACATGAATCACCTAAACTGGACAATCAAGAAGCGGAATCTTGTCGATGTTCTGCAAGAATAAAAATATCTCTGAACTCGACACTTTGTTTAAAAAACAACCTTTAACTTTTAAAAGTTTCAATAATATCATTAAATAGTTTAAAAAATACATTACCATTAATTTTAAATGTAGACAGTTAATATATTGATTTTAAAATACCTTCTGAAATTTAAAAAACACCTTTAAATTTCTTTTAAAAATATTTATTCAGTAGTACAATATTTAAAAAAATACCCATAAATTTTTAAATGTAGTATCAATATTTTAACTTTTATTACAAAAAAAAATAATAAAAAAGTTTTTACCTATGGTAATTTTTAAAAATATTTTTAGAAGAGGACAAAAATGCAAATAAGAAGAAGAGGGAGGGTATATAAGCAAAAAAAGGGAAACCTTGTAAATGTCGAACCAGAAAGTCTTCTTGAGAGGAGGATAGAGAACACGGAGGCCGGAGAGAATTGGGCTGTGAAGGACGACGGCCCTCACCGCCGGCAGCCGCGTGGCTAACTCCAGTGTGGGCCCACTGCCGACAGACTGTCCGTACAGAATTGTTTGGTCTTCTTTGACGCCGTATGTTTCTTGTAGGCATTTGTAGGCTGCTTCTATGTCGGCGTATGTGTCTTGTTCACTTGCCTAACCCACAATCTTAAACCTTTTACTAATTTCTTCTTTAAATATTTTTCATAATATTTATTTTTTTAAAAAAAACTCTAAATAACTATTTATTAAAAATAGTCTCTTTTTTTTTTTCAAATAATCATTTATAATAATAAATGACAAAAAAAAAAAAAATCCATTAAAAAGACTCTAAATAATTATTTATTAAATTTTCTTGAAATTGAAAGTTCAAAATTTCATATCTACAACAAAAAAAAATTAATTTTTTTATTTTCTTGAAAATGACTTAAAATTGGATATGACTCCATAAATAATTCAAAATAAATAGAAAATTGAAAATTTCAAAATTATATATATATATATATATATATATACCTTTCCAGAAGACTGTCCATAGCCAGAATAATCATATCTGCACAAAACAATAAAAATAAAATAAAATTGATAATAAAATTAAATTTTTTATATTAATAAAATATTAAAATTGATAATAAAATTAAAAATTAATATAAAATTAAAAATTTTAATTTATATTTTATTTATTTAACTATTTTTAAATTGATAATAAAATTTATTAGGATGGTATTGGATACTACAGATTAGGTAAGAAAAACTCAATCATTCTCGATAATCGAATAAATTAAATCAATTTGCTACATCAATTCGAATCTAACCAAAATCAACCACCCTGTAATAATCGATTCAATTCATTTTCATTCATGCAATGAATCAGTTCGTAAAATTAAAAGAAGAACGAATTATGTAACGGATATAAAATTTAGTGGATATCTATATCACACACAACAAACGACACGAGATCGAACGAGTAAAAATGACTAACCCCATGATGTTGACACCCAAATGGAGACTAAGTTGAACAAGAAGATGGTGAATCTGGCCAAGATCTGCAGCATTTCCATGGGAATAAAGCACTGTGAAGGAAGAACAAGAAGCCTTCACATACATAGCCACAATCTCGTTCCCTCTCCTCGTCCTCGTCCTCAAAACATCCACATTTTCTCTCTCCTCCACGGTCGAGATTCTCAATTTCCCAACCTCGTTGGAATACACGCTAAAAATAATATAAACCAAAATTTATCATAACCCACCAACTTAAATTATAAAAAAACGAGAATTTAACATGGTATTAGAACAGGAGATTTTGAGTTTGAACGTTCGTAACCTGTACGATGGCGGGTCGGGCGGGTAGAACGCGAACTTGGCGGCCATCGAGGAAGCTGCAGACCCCATTGGTGAAAGATTGAAGCTTTTTTAAAATTTTGATGCTAGAATTGTTGTTGCATGATGAAGTTGAAATGTTGGTGGGATTTTCTGTTTGGTTCCCGAGAAAATATTTGGAGTTTTTAAGGAAAAGGGGGGGAGGGAATTTATGTCGGATGAGTGTGTTTTTAAAGCAGAGGGGAGTGATTAGCGGCGGGGAAGTGGATGAACAGATCAAAGAAAGAATATGTTTTTTTTTTTTTTTTTTTTTTTTTTTTTTTTTTTTTTTTTTTTTTTT